TGATTTAGTTATAAATTGGGGTTGCTGGCAGCTTGTGAAACTGATTTGGTTCCAAATCACATGTTACTGAATTTAGAATGGCTTGGTTTGTTTGTGATTTCCAAGAATCTGGCACTTGTTTTTGATTTTACATTTGTCATCCTTTGGCTGATTTTGTGGTTATGCTTTCTCCAATGAATCCAGTACTGTATCCGACTAAAATTGCAGATGCTGGAGATCTGAAACAAATTGCTAGCAAAAAGTCAGTGTCTGTAGGGAGGAAAGCAGTACCAGCACTATATATTTTACTACATTGTTCCGTGAGTATAGTTGACAGTTTCTTGCATCTATTTCTTGCAGGAAAGTGCAGAGGCTAAAAGGCTTAAAGAAGAGCGTCTAGCCCAATATGAAGCTAAGAAGTCCAAAAGTATGTGGTGTCATTTCAAAGTTTAGTGATCTCAAGTCGAGTGCTTAACGTTTTATCAACTTGTTTAAAATTCTCCTTAACCTAGTATGGTATGTCCTATTATGGGTCAAGTGTGTTGAATATGGAGACAGTCAGCTGTGTAAATACTGTAATAGATGAACAACACCTGTTCTTCAGATTGTTTCATTCCTAATGTATCATGTTCTGTAATGCAGTTGCAAGGAATCAGCAGTAAGTAGATGAATGCTGTGAAATGCAATGGTTTTAATGATGATTTCAATTCACCATCTTTCGACTGAATCAGTGATGTGAATTAATTGAATCTGACAAAACCAGTGTTTTTCATTGAGAAGTTACCCATTCAGAGGATTCCACCTTTGTAGGTAAGGAGTTTGTGGAGAGCTGGAACACTGGTTGAGGCATGCAGTTAGTTGTGTGGCAAGTCCTTTGTATAACTGCATGTAATTGCAAGCTGATCTTTAATGAATGATCACACTCATGACATGATCTTGTCAATCTCTTTTAGAGCCAGCACTTATCGCTAAATCATCTATTTTGTTGGATGTGAAGCCATGGGATGATGAAACTGACATGGTCAAAATGGAAGAGTGTGTACGTTCAGTGACTATGGACGGCTTACTTTGGGGTGCTTGTGAGTATTATTATTTTACATAATATTGCAAGCAGTCTGGCAATTCTGTAATGACATAAATAGCAATATTGACGTAGTGTTCAGGTCTTGAGGCCAGTTTATGGCACAAGTCACTTCTGTAGATATTTTTCCAGTGTTGGAAAATTGAAGAATTACTAAGCAGCCAAGCGGATTGTTGGCTTGGGATAGCATCAGGAAACAGTGTCTATTATTCTGATTGCAAGCTGCTGTTATGTACACGAGTAGTATGCCAAATTTCATTTGGCCATCTTGGGTAAGGTTCCCAGTAAAAGTGCAACAGTGACATTTTTTGTATCTTGGCATATTGTTATGGCATAAAGACTTCTCCTTTTGAGGGTTGTTTCTTTGTCATTCTCCTAAATCTGAGATTAGGAAGGATGGTAGCTTTTTAAATTCTCTAAACTTCTTTTCCATTCTAGCCAAACTGGTTCCTGTGGGTTATGGCATCAAAAAGCTACAGATTCAATGTGTAGTTGAAGATGACAAGGTAAGCATGTTTTCAGCTATTGAGCAAACAAATCTCAATTTAAGCATCTGCAATTGGCTGCTGAAAAGCCTGTACTTTTTTTCAAAAGAAAAGCTATATTTGTATGAATTTTTTAAAGCTTCCTATTATACTTCATTGAATTATTGAGGAAGCACTTGGGAGATTTAAATTGATCTTCCAGAAAAGATTGGGAAGCTTATCATTTAGTCTGTACTTCGAGTAGCCAGAACTTCTGAGGTCTGAGTACTTTCGAGCTGTCTTCTCATTTTCAGACTTGGGTTAAATGCTCACTTATTGTTTCACAAAGAATTGTTATGCTAACTCCTACATAATATTGAACCTGATTAATGAAGGTAGATGGTGGCCTATTAAGCAAGTGATTTGATTTTTGGCTTGGTCATTGCCAGCTTCAGCAATTAATAGTGAATTAATGAATAAGCATAAATGTCCTTTTTACAGGGGGTTCTGCTTTAACAAGATAGTTACATTCCAGCGCAACTTCATGTTATATAAAATCGGGCCTGTGGGAAAGGCTGGGCTGGGGGCGGACCACCAAAAAAGGTGTTACAAAGGATAGCACTGCTGTCAACAGCTGTTTGGACAGGTTGGTCCAACTGACAGTTCTTAACAGCAGTTTGAAATCAATGAACATAGAACAGTACAACATAGTACAGGCTCTTTGGCCCATGATGTTCTGCTGACCTATTATCCTAGTAAGATCAATCTACCCTGCATACCCTACATTTTACTATCCTCCATGTGCTTATCCAAGACTCACTTGAAAGTCTCTAAAGTATCTGACAGATGGCAAGGCTGAGCTCAAACTTCTGCCGCACCCCTATAACCCTATATGTAATGAGCTGGCACATCAGGTATGGCTTTCCTTACTGAGGACGTTTGCTCCTTCTGGATATCCTCCACTGGGGTTTTGGATGACGCAAACAGTTAGTCTCGAACGTTAAACAAGAATCAGTGCCAAGCCAGATGAGGATAGCTAATGGTCAGTCAGTTTCAGGAATCTTTTTGACAAGACAGGAGGGTTACTAAGGAAATGAAAAACTTTGGAGTTGGGCAGCTGTGAATAAGGCAAGTGTGGTAGAGCAATGAAAATCAGGTGTGTAAGAGGCTGGAATTGAAAAAACAGATCTATCAGCAAGTTGCTCAATTGTTTGAGATTACAAATTGAGATGACTAAGACTCGAGGATTTGATAACAAGGATGAGAATTTTACAGTTAGGGTTATGGAGCAGAGGTAAATGGAATTGAGGTATGTCTCAACTATCACCACCTGGCGATTGCTTGAAGGGCTTTTCAAAAAGTGGGGGGGTGGGGAGAGAAGGGCAGCATCAACAGTAGAGCCACAACAAGCCACATGATACCAGCCTGAGTGTGGGTGGATGACTGTAGACAGTGTCACCCCTGACTATTATCATTGCTTCTGTGTCCTTCCAACTAGCTCCTGATACCATTAGCAAAGGACTCCTGACATCAAGGTGCCCACTTGATGGAATTGTTATCGCCAACACAAGTTTGTGTTGAAGAAATAGCATTCCCCTATTTGTCAGTTGCATTACAGCCAATTTGCGTTGCCAGAACATGCGTTATAGCAGAACCTCCTGTACAGCTGAACTGAGACGGCAAGTACAAATACTTGATCTGTTTGGATAAAGTAACATTGGCAGTGCTTGTTATATTTTCCGTTAAACTTTCATTGTTTTCAGTAAAAATTGTTTGACTGTCAGGCTTGAATGTTGAAATTGGCTGAATTTTGTGGTTGCATTTTGTAAACTCCTGTTGCAACTGCAGAGATTTACTTGTGCAGAATTGGTGTTTGCTTAGGCAAACAAGATGAAACTGTATTTTGTGGTCTGAATGCATACACTTGGGGTGCAACTTAATGTTACGGTAGGTGAGATTTGTATATGGTGAGTAAATGATATGCTGCAGGATTCCACAATGCAGTCTGTTGATAGCCTCTATGGTCTTGTACCCATACAGTACAGAAAAGGCACTTGAGTCCACGTCTATACTGACAATAACTACTCAAATCTATACTGGTCCAACTTTGCCCAAGGTCTTGAATGTTTTGATCTTTCAAGTTTGTTCAGGTGCTTGGTGAAATGTCCAGGTTTTGTGCCTCAACTGCCCCTTCGGGCTGTGCTTTCCAGATTGCTGGCACCTTCTGGGTGAAATAAAATCTCAATCCCTCTTAAACCCCCTGCGTTTCACCTTGTGTGTCTGCCCCCTTATCAATCCTTCAACTGAAGGAACAGGTGCTTTCTATTCCCCTTGTCGTTGCCCTTCAATCTGGTATGCTGTATCAGGTCCCCTCTCACCCTTTTCTGTTCTTAAAAAAAGTGAGATTATCCAGCCTTTCTTTGCATCTAAACTGCTCCATGCTATTGAGTATGCTATTAATTCCAGTGCATCACCTTGCGCACTCAAAGATTAAATTCTATCTGCTGATCTGACCAATCTATCTTTATCCTCCTGTAACCTAGGACACACCCCTCCATTGTTAACCACTCAGCCAAACTTTATCTGTTAACCTAAGACTTATTCCCCCCATTTTTCTTGATTGTATCTACATGAACAAGAAGGGATCCTGCACTGATCCTTGTGCAACCCCACCATACTCTGGCCGCCACACACTCAAACACCAATCCATCTCCTACCACTAAGCCAACTGAGTTACCCTGGATCTTGTGTGGTGTGAACTCCTTTGTATCAGTCTCCTACGTTGGAGCTTCTTGGAGGCTTTGACGTCAGTACAAGGATGTCAACTGCACAATCTTCATGTATGCAACTGGTCATCTCAATTAAATCAAACTTGCCTGTCTGATGAATCTTTGCCTCTCCAAGTGGAGATTTAATTCTCTGCTTTAAAATTTTCTCCTGTAGTTTCCCTACTATGGAGACTTGCTGGTTTGTAATTGCCTTTATCTCTAGCACTCTTCTCCAAGTGGAGCGCCACGTTATCCTCCAGTCATCTGGTACCTTCTCTGTAGCCAGAGATGATCTTAAAAACTAGGTCAGAGCAATTGCAACTTCCTTATTTCGCACAGCTTGGAATAGAACTCTCCCTGGGCCTGGATACTCGTCCATTTTAAGCTCCAAATTCATGAATTTCACTTCACTGCCTAGGTTAAACCCATCAAGAACCTGAATTCTGTACTTGCGTCCTCCTCATCTGTCTTTACTTTGGAGGAGTAGTAGTTACGTGTCCTCTGGCTCCACAGATTTGCTTCTTGCTCCCATATGGTCCCTTTTTCCCTGCTTGTCCTTGACGTACTTATCCTACCCTTTTGGATTTCCTCCAAACACTGTCAGTGTTATTTATATGTACCTGTTCTGGAATTGGAATGATTTGGTTTTCCCCGTATCCATCGGCTGAGGGGAATTCATGTTCTAGGGAGTTGAAGGTGAGAGCATGTTCAAAACTGAACTTTTTATATTCTGGTCGCACATACGTGCTGTCTGAAACATAATAGTCTCTGTGGTTCTGAGCATGAGTTTATGGAAGCTTGATGTTTCCAATTTAAATTATTGATTAAGTTGAATTAATTGAAGGAAGTTGTTTGCTTGAATCTACTTCCTGTTGTTTCAAATCCCAAATGTAATTCTGCAAAGTACATTAGCACTTAAAGTTGCATATACATAATTTTGAACTCCTATGGACTCAATCATAGAGCCATGAAAACATACCCTTTTGGTTCAGCTAGTCCATGGTGACCATGTCCCCAGACTAAACTGATCCCACCTGCCTGCACTTGGCATATACCCTCTGAACCTTTGCTATTCATGTACTCATTTGAATGTAACTGTTCCCACATCCACCACTTCCTTTAGAAGTTTGTTCCTCATGAACTACTGTTTTTAAAAGAAAACCACTTGTCATGTCTTAAATCTTTTTCTGCTCCCTCCTTAAAAATATGCCCCCTGTCTTGAAATCCCCACCCTAGGGAAAAGTCACCTGTCATTGACCTTTTTAATGTATATTCATGACCTTATAAATCTCTAAGGTCACCCCTCAACCTCCATGCTCCAATGAAAATGTTCAAGTCGATCCAATCTCCCCATATAGCTCAAATCCCCTCTTCCTGGCAACATCCTAGTGTGTTTTTTTACCCTTTCCAATTTCATGTCCATCCCTTAGCAGGGCACCCAGAACTGTGCATACTCAGAGGCGTCACCAATGTCCTGTACAATCTCAACATGATGTCCCAACTCCTACACCAATGTATAGCTGAGCAATGAAGGGAAGCATGCTAACTCCTAAACACCTTGTCTACCTGTGACTCAAATTTCAAAGAACCATGTCCTTGAACCCCTAGGTCTCTGTCCAATACCCAGGGCCTTGCCACTGTCCAAGTCCTGTCCTTGTATTGCATTTTGGCAAAACAAACCTTGCATTTATCCAAATTAAACTCCATCTGCCACTCCTCAGCCCATTAACCATGTTGATGAAGATCTCTTTGTAATCTTGGATCACCTTCTGTCCTTTATACCACTAATTTTGGTGCCATCTGCCAACTTATTAACCAAGCCTCCGATATTGTCCTACAAATGTGTATCTAAATGAGACAAGTGGATCCAATACGGATTCCTGCAGAACACCACTGGTCACAGTTTACTAGACTGAAAAATAACCCTCTTCCACCCTGTCTCTGGGCAAGCCAGTTGTGCCCAATTGGCAAGCTGACCCTGAATCCCGAATGATCTGACTTCATTAATCTACCACCTTGTCAAATGCAATACTAAAGTCAATGTAAATGTCTACTGCTCTGCCCTGAATCTTAGTTACTTACTCAGAACTCAGTCAAGTTTGGTCAACATGTTTTCTCTTGCCCAAGCAGGCTGACTATCCCTAATCAATCCTGACCTCAGTGTACATAAATCCTGTCTTTGAGAATTGCAACCAACTTACTTGCCACTGGTATCAGACTCCATTCTATACTTCCAGGCTTCTCCTTACAGCCTTTCTTAAAGGCATAACATTAGCCACCCTTCAGTCCTCTGGCACCTCACCTGTAGTTAGGGGCCCTGTAATTTCTTCCCGAACTTTCCACAATGTCCTGGGGTACACTTAATCAGGTCCCAAAGATTTATTCACCTTTTTTTTTTTCTAAGGACTCCAGCACTTCCTCTTCTGTAATATGAATTGTTTTGAAAACACAAATTTATTCCCCTGTGTTCTCTAGCTTCTTTGTCCACAGTAAATACTGACATGGAATATTCAATTTAGTATCTGTCTCATCTCCTTGAGTTCAATACATAGATGACCTCTGATTTTTAAGTGGCCCTATTCTCTCTAGTTTCTCTCTTGCTCTTAATGTACTTGTAGAATCTCTTGGCATCTAAGGTTAAATCCAAATTGTGTATTGCTTAGAATAATCTAATTGAGTATTTCTTTTCAGGTGGGAACAGATATGCTGGAAGAAGCTATTGTTGCATTTGAAGATTATGTACAATCTGTTGATGTTGCAGCCTTCAACAAAGTGTAGAATGACAACAAATGAACACTTAATAAAAACTGGCATGTCCAGAACTTAACCTGGTCCTTTGTCTTATTGTGGGTTTTGTGGCACTAATTCAGAAGAACAAGGAAGCAGAGATCACCAGTCTGCTATTGAAGATTTTGAACTGAATGGTCTTCCTGAAATTGACAGCAAAATGTATAAAGTTGCTTACACATGGGCCTCAGTTCATCATGCATAATTTGCATGATGTTGACATGGTACAGAATTTGGTTAACTAGGTCATGTGGAATTGCATTTTTTCTTTGCCTTTATGCTTACAGAATTTTCAGTGCAAGCTTATTCCTGTTGAATTTGATCAATCAGCAGTTGCTCTAACTTGATGTTTTTAATCCAGTGTTCAACTAAACACTGACTTGAGTGATCAGTTTTCAATTTGATAAGCTAACTGTTGAGTGCAGTGGTGTGGAGATTGAACTGGCAGTGTTTTGAAGTTTTAAAAACAGACTTCAGCTATTGACTTTGTTCTGTTTTCCCACAGTATTAAAGGCCAAGCTTTCTATGAATGTAAATTGCATTTTGTATTTAGAGTAGGTCATAAAGCATGGAAACAGACCCTTCAGTTCAACTTCTGTGCCAAACTGACCTAGTTGCATTTGGAATATATCCCTCAATCCTTCCTATTCATGTTAAACATTGTAATTTTATCCACTATCACTTCCTCTGGCAGCTGGTTCCATACACTCACCACCCTCTAAAGGTTGTCCCTCAGGACCTTTTTTAAAAAATAATCTTTGCTGTCTAGTTTTGGACCCCCCCCCCTACCCTGGGGAAAAGACCTTGTTTATTTGCCTTATCCATGCCCCTAATGTCCTCCCAAACCTCCCTCAGGTCACCCCTCAGCCTCTGACATTTCAGGGCGGGGGGGGTGCCCTAGCCTATTCGGCGCCTCTCTCAATAACTCAAACCGTCCAGTCCTGGCAGCATCCCTGTAAATCTGCACCAGCAAGTTTAAAAATATCCTATTAGAAGACCAGAATTGGCCACACTAAATGGCCTTAATAATATCCTGTACAACTGCAACATGACATTCCAACTCAATGCACTGACCAATATAGGTGCTAAATGCCACTTTCACTACTATGTCTACCTACAACTCCACTTTGAACAAACAATGCACCTCCATCCCAGGTCTTTGTCTCCCTAGGCTCCCACCATTGTCTTGCCCTGATATGTTCAATTTGTGTTGTTTTTTAGCATATTTAATGTTTCAGTCAATGCCTGTTACTGCATACACCTCATGGTTTAAAATCTCATGGCTCTGGAAAATCAAAATTCTGGTTTGGATTTTTTGTGACCTGGGTTTTGTGTAGTCAGCTGTAAATGAAAAAGGATGAAAGCTCTTGTACATTGAGGTGAAGTATTGAATCTTTAGATTAAAATTACTAAATGCTGATCTAGCATTTGCAGGGTTTTTGACTGGTTTAATGACTGGGCACTGCTGGTTTGGCCTGTTTGCCCATCCTAATTTGCCTTGAAGGTGTTTGAGTTTCAACCTTGAACTGCATTCTGCCAGTAGACCCATAGTGCTTTGGGAGGGGAATGGGTGAGTTCCACTATTTTCTCAGCAACAGTGGAGGAAGACTATATAGTTAAGTCAGGATAATGTGTGGCTTGGAGCATGTCCCAGCTAGTGATGTTCCCATGTATCATTTGCTGCTCTTGATGGTAGAGATTACAGATTTGAAAGGGGACTTGAGATGTTGCAGTGCTTTTCCAGCTCCACATCCATTGACTCTTGCTTCCAGCATCTGCAGTCCTTACTCTCACCAATTGATCAATGGCATGGTGAAAACTTGCCCTTTTTGTTCTCAATCCATCTTAGAAATGCTGTAAGATGAGCTTTATTGCTTTATTCAAAGGAACGTACTGGTATTTTAACAGTAATCTGACTAAATGTCAATTACTAGACATTTGAACTCTTCATGCTTGTCAACAGCATTTGAAAACTCTTCGCATTGAACAAATTTAGCTTTTTTAGTCCATTTTTGAGCAGGCTAGAACTGGCCAAAACTACTTACAAAATAGTAGCACAGTATGGCAGTTCAGCTCTGACTTGTGGCAATATTGGCCCTTTTGCTGAAAATCTTTTACATAGAATGTGCAGAGCATGGGAACAGGAGTGGGCCATTTAGACCCCATGCCTGTTCCACTGTTGACTGCAATCATGGCTGATCTCTGGCTTAACTCCATATAATTGCCTATAGTGCAGATGTCTTTTTCTTGAGCTGAACTATTATTTTAAAAGTAGTCTGTTCCTGCTTCCCTTGCTGTTTGTCGAAGAGTTCTAGATATGTCACTCCTTGAGGACACATGTCAAAGTGCTTCTCAATGTATGCCCCTCATACTTAGACTGTGCCCCCTAGTCCTAGAATCCCTAATTAATAGAAATGGCTTCTTTATCTACAGTTCTTCCTAGTTAATATCTTGATATTGATCAGATCACCTCTTAACCTTGTAAAATTCAAGAACCAGGCCTAATCTATATAATCTTTGTTCATAGCTTAACCCCTGAAGTCAGACTTATAAGAATGACACCTTGTGTTTGTACTTTCTCCAAGGCCAATACAAGTTTTGCTCCCAAGTAAGCTCTAAGTAAAGTTTTGTAGAACTTCTGCATCCTTGTACTCCAGTTCTCTGGATATAAAGACCAGCACTCCATTAGATTACTACTTGCTTTTCTGCACCTGTTTGTAGCATCTTAAAGATCTATATGCCTGAACCCCCAAGTCATTGTAACCATTGCATGCAGTAGCCCCATGTTCTTGCTGCACTGGGTGAATGTTTCTTCTGAACTCCCTACTAAAATTTGTTGGTAATTTGTGTTGATGATTAATTACATTATTCCTGTATTAGGAACTGTTTTCTTCTGCATTCTTACCCAAGCCTTTCATAATTGAAGGCCTCAACCTTTTTAGGCCGTTTCTGCAGATTTTGCTTTGCTGGTATGCATGCTTGCACACTTTAAAACAAAGTGAAGTTGAAATCCATGTACATTTTTACGTGGCAGCTCTCTCTTGGTAGTAGATTCAAATCCCAATTCAGATTTAAATGCACATCTAAGCACTCCAAAAATGAACAGTCTGCTGCACTGCCATTTGTTTTGTTACAGTCTTAAGATGCATTCTGTCTGATCTTAGATATTATTTTTTATATTCTATTAGCTAGCACTAGAACAAATTAGTTCCATTTGAATTGGCTACTTATCCTCATACCTAGTTTTTTTTTCTTGTTCTGCTTGCAGGACTTTGTCCTGTTGAGCTCATTGCCTAGGTTTAACAATGGAAAAAATCGTGTTTTAAGGATTATGCGTTATGAAAGATGCAATATAAAAACAAGTTTTTCTTTAATGTATCTGCAGAACTGTGTGAAGTCAGTTTTGTACTCAATGTGCTCTGTCATTAATATGTAATGGGGTTATGCTGAAAGGCAGGTGCTAGAATGTCTCAAATTTTTAATCTGTAGAATTGACATTTCACAGGCTATATTAACAATGTGTTGACAAATAAATTAAGCAGCAGCAAACTGCTGCTGTGCAGAGTTCCAATTTTTTGTCATGCAGTGACATTACTAGTAGAGCTGCAAGTTTGTCCAGTAAGTGCTGGAACAGCTGATTCAATTGAGACTGCCTTGAGTTTAATGGACAACTTTTTTCTTTCTTCAGTCACGGAACTCCCATTTTAGCTCTGATCAATTGCAAATTCAGAATAATGACAGCAACCTGATTTCTTTAGGTCCTTGTTCCTCTTCCCATTGACCCTTCCCTATTAGATCACCCAATCATAGCATATGTAACAGTGAAATAGTTGCTCAGCAATTAGTTCACCTGTCTAAAACAGTGTTTCTATTTTGAAGCTTGCCGTGTACCAGTATCAAATAACTGAGCAATAACACTTCACAGAAAGGGGTTTGGGAGGTGGGGGGGATGTTGGTGAGAGAATCACTGATCTCTCGAGTTGATTTATTGAACACAAACTATCATCAATGCTGTATTGCATTGACGTTGTCTGTTTTAATTCATAGTGAAGAAAGGATTTGACACTTCAGTTTCCTGCTCATCAATACGTAAACTGCAGAATTGCCAATAATCAGTGGGATGGCACTTAATTGGTCATTTTCTAGTTCATGTTAATCCAGGTCAAGGAAGTCAACCCAACAATAGCCAAGTGTTGAATCCAGAACTTTGATTTGATAATTAACAGTTAAAGTTAGGATATTGTTTCTTATTATTTTGTAGTGTCACCCTTTGTCTCTTTTAATGGTCATAATCTTCAACTTTATACTTCAAAATCTGTTGCCTGCCTTGACAATTACCTGGCAAGAGTTCCATCATCCTTTTGTGAGTATAGGGTGCACTGAGAATCCAGTACACCTTTTGGTATTGAGGGATGTGGAGAGGGGTGAACTGTGGTTATTGACTTGTTGCCACTCGACCTCCACCCACATACACTTGTGCACTCTTCCGTGTGTCCATCCGCATTGACTAATGTATAATAGGTACTGACATTACACCAGCCTTGGATCTTTCCTGTGATTCCTAGCCAGTTTTGAACATCTGTTCTACCCCTCGAGCATTCAGTACCAAATGAAACACTTTGCAATGCGTCCTGCCACATTGGTGACAGGTTCTGATCATAGATATTCATCTTTGCTTTTTCTAGTCGCTGGCAATTCGAAGAGCTTTCAGTGTTTTGTGCTTTTTTTATAAATGTCAAACTGCTGTGCTTTCTCTTGAAGACAAAAATCTGCGTTGTTTTGGAGGCAGTTTATTTCTGCTGGCCTTCTACGTGTGCAGTGGTCTGGGCGTTCCCTCATCAGGCCTGTCAGTAACATGCAGTGGAGGATCCCTTTAACGGTGGGCGCGGCCGTGCTTCAGCGTCGGCGGCCAGTAAATCGCGCCGCAGCCCCTTTAAGAGTGGCCAGGAAGTAGAGCAGGAAGCGGCTGAACTCTGACCGTGAGGGTGGAAGCACATTCAGCGCGCTTGAAAGGCACGGTAAGGGGGAGGGGGCAACGTTCTGTATGTGGGGGCCTGTGGGTGGGGGGAGGTGTTGAATGTGGGAAGTGGCTACTCGGACTGGGAGAGACGCGCGCGCGCGCGCGAGGGGAACCCGAAGTATTGCGCGTAACCCATCAATTACTTGTTACTTTCAATGTTGCAACTTCAGTGTTGCAACTTGCACGGTGTATCTTCAAGCCCCACATCAGCTAAAGAGTTGCTTTTATTTTTGCACGGGGTTTTTGGGGTGGGGGGGGGGGGGGGGAGAGGAGTGGGTGCGGAGATTGAAATGCAGTTGAACAATTGTCAACTGCGCCCAACAGTGCAACCCATCTGCTCTGAAGTGAATTCGATTTATTTTGATCCTCCCCGCCGCCACTACCGCCACCACCACCACCACCCCGGTCTGTGAGCTACTGCTGAACTGTCAGTGGTTGGGGAGGGGGAAGGAGATAAGTATTACTCATGCTGCTCCAGAGAGTTCAAGCGTGACCATTTAAAAGTGTGTTTTCTGAAGTTTTTAAGGCAGGCCATTTCTAAGAGACAGAATTAGCAATTGCGTTTACTGAAGACGTCTGGCTCAGCTTGTACACGTGTAACGGTCAATGTAAACTTTATGCAACTTGTGTGTTCAAAGACTAACTGTCTTTTTGTAAAATATATATTCAGCTGTGAGCGATTGATTTCAATCAAGGCTTCTGCATCTGCTATGCAGTCAAGATTCTATTAGTCTCACCCTGAAGAGTAACCAGTGTTGTATACAGTTTGACAGCAGAAGCTAGGCCTATTTTTAAATAAAGGTATCTTAATTTGATCCAATTACCCCCTCGTTTGGTGGAGGGCAGAGGTTTACTATTCTGGGTGAATTGTCTTAACGCCTTCAAAGGCCAGCAAGTCATGTTTTTCTCCCTGCATTAACTGAATTGACGACTGCAGCTGACAGTGCGCAGTCTTGTATAAAGCTGCAGTGTCCATTTTTTTTGTTCAATCTGTGGCAGGGATCCAATGGCAGCCTGGAAGGTTTTGCAACATCAGGTATTGATTCCAAGTTAGTCATCAGATGCAGATATTTTCAAACCAACCTGTTCAGAGATGTTATTACACCTGGAGTAGGTGAGGTTTGAACTAAGGCCTTCTGGCCCAGAGGTAGGCACACTACCACTGCAGCACAAGAGCCCTTCTGTTGTTAGATGTGTGATTTTTGGAAGTAATGTGATACAAGTACTGGTAATCTCTTGAACTAACAGATGGAAATTCAAAACAAAAATTGGCACTTGGAGATTTTCACTTGTTTTAGTTCAAGCTGGAATTGTGAAAATGGTCAGGTTACAGCTGATGGGCTCAGTGATCTTCATCCGTACGTAGATACTACAGATAGGGGTTGGTTAGCTCCATTGACTGGATGGCTGATTTGTGATGCAGCAATGGCACCAATAGCATAGATTCAATTTCTGTACCTTGCCCGAAGCGTGGTGACCCTCGGGTTAGATTACTACCAGTCGTGTCTGAGAGAGCAACCCAATAATCCTCTAGGACTACGGCAGCTTCTTACTTTATTATTGTGGCTATAAGAGCAGATTAAATGCTTGTAGTTCTGTGGCAACTCACCACCTCACTCTTCAAAGCCTGTGCACCATCCGTTGCTGCGGAGAGGCAGCCAAAATGATTGAAGACCCTTCCAACCCCGGTTATAATCTCTTCCAACCTCTTCCGTCAAGCAGAAGATACAAAAGCTTAAACACACATACCAACAGGTTCAAGAACAGTTTCTTCCCAACTGTCATTAGACTGCTGAATGGGCCTTTCAGATCTTGAATCTAGTGCTGATCTTGCTTTTGAACACCCTGTGCAGCTGTAACTTTCTATCTCTTGTTGTTCAATCACCAGATGATCTGTATGTCCTTGTATGTTATGATCTGCCTGTCCTGCACGCAAATCAAAACATTTTGCTGTACTTAGGTACATGTGACAATAAATCACATCACAAGGCTGAAGTTAGGAGTGTGGTGGAATATTCCCGAATTGTCAGGATGAGCGTAGCTTCAACACGCAGCTTGACACCGTCCAGGACAAAGAGTGGTAATCAAGTGGCCTCCTATCTAACATGTTCAACATTCAGTCCCTCCACTGCTGACAGTTGGAGCAGTGTATATCCTCTCCAAGATGAGTCATAACTACTTACCAAGCCTCCTTAGGCTGTTTCCAAACCTATAACATCACCCACTTTGGACAGGAGTAGCAGATGCTTGGGAAACACCATCAGGTTCCCCTCCAAGCTGTAAACATCCTTGATTGGAAATATCAGACTGTTCCTTCAGTTGCTCCAGGTTAAAATTGTCACTTCCTCCCAATAGCATTGTGGGTGTAGCTACACCACATGGACTGCAGAGATTCAGAAAGCAGCTCGATAGCAGCTAAAGATGAGAAATAAACGTTGGCCCAGCCTGTGAATGAATTAAACACTTGTCCTTTCTCCTTAGATCTGTACACTATCTTTGTACAAACTGTCACTTAAGCCTGTTTTTGAAAGAGTGTGAGCTGTGAGGCTGTACACATTTAACTGACAATTGACACACTTTTAAAATAAGCTATTTAATGAATTTGCAAAGTTTCATCATTTGGGAAAACAAGTCCCAATTCCTACATCTAAAGGGATTTGAAAGAAAGTGTTGCACTTTATGTAGTACCTGGCACAATCTCCCAATGTCTTCAGATGCTTTATAGCCAATGTAGCACATTTGATGTTAAACAACTACTTGTTTTGGAAACAATTGGCCCACATCCAAACGATAATGTGATGACTAGATCATCCCGATTTCATGCAAATATAATCGTTCTTGCAAGACAAACTTTGACAAAATGTTTCTTTCCATCAACACAAGATCATCTGTTCACGGGTGTTTGATAGAGGGTAAGCAATGCCTCTGGGCTCCAGGAAGAGTGTTTTTTTCAATAGTGTCGTCGACCTTTTACGTCCACTTGAGTGAGTAGACTGGACCTGTTTAGGATCTGAACTGAAAAGCTTGCGTCGGAGTAAGATTTAAGGATATAATCCACATACAGTGGACCAGAGCTTCATCTTTAACTTTCTAACCAAGTAGTGTGCAGTTGCTGAGCTCTGATTGTCTAAAGTCGTAGGGTGGTCTCCATGCTGAGTAGTCAACTATATCTCCCAAATGCATTGAAAGCCTAGGGTGCAACTTTGACTTGATTACATCTCTGCAAGAAGGTTATGATCAGTTTGCCTTTTATCACGTCCTAGGCTGGAATCAGATTGTTTTCTCTTTCTAAATTTATCTGGAATAAAACTCATGTTTATCAGTATTTACTTCGGGAAGAAATTGTGGCTGGAGTGTGGTGAGAATGTGGCACTTTATTTACCACGTGGAGTGGTTGTGACGAATAAGATTCTAAGAGAAACTGAAAGAAGCTTACAAAGAAGAAAGGAAAAGGAGAATATTCCGATCATGTTGGTGATGACCATAGACTAGGAGCAGAAGTATGCCATTTGGCCTATTGAGTCTATTTTGTCATTCGATGAGCTCGTAGCTGACCTGATCCTCAAATGCACTTTTCTGCCTTTATCTCCATGTCCCTTGATTCCCTTACTGATGTAAAATTCTGTCTATATCAGCCTTGAATATAATTAATAATCCAGCCTCGACAACACTCTGCAGCAAAGGTTTCTGCAGATTTCTTACCCTTGGAGAAGAAATTCCTCTTCACCTTTGTCTTAAATGGGTGATCCCTTATTCTACCCTTGTGAAGGTGGAAATTTGAATGAATATAGACCAACCAGGCCAAATACTCTTTTTGAGATGCAGATTCAACATAATCAAAGGTGTCAGCACTTGGAATAGTTCATTTTGCATTTGAAGTATTTTAGGCTTGTATTAAGTGCTCTTGCTTTAGACATATATTGTTTTATCAGAGGAAGTGTTGGGGGGGTAGCGTATAATACAACATTTTGAAAAAAAACATCTGGATGGGTTTATGAATAGGAAGGGTTTAGAGGGATTTGGGCCAAATGCCAGCAAATGGGACTAGGTCACAGTGGAATTGCTAGTCAGCATTGACAAGTTGGACCAAAGGGTCCGTTTCCACGTTATATGAATTTCACTCTGCCCCCAACAACGGCTTCAGCACTTGTTACTGACTGTTTGTGGATACAATTGACTTCCAAATGTTTACTTAACAACAGGCTCCAATTCTACCTTCAAGCTGAGTTGGACTAGGAAATCAAGGTATGCAGGGGTGGATGCAGTGGCAGGACAGAAGTTATTGAGACCACAATAAAATCATCCATGACCTTTGCAAAGATCGAGCAGGCTTAATGGCCAAATGGTCCACTTGTGTTCCTGCAGAATTCACAAAAGATCCTCAGAGCACCTTCCAAACCCACAACCACTTCCATCTAGGAGGACTAGGGCAGCAGATAAATGGGAACACCACCATCTGCAAGTTCCCCTCCAAGCCACTTGCCATCCTGATTTGGAAATATATCGCCGTTCCTTCACTGTCACTGAGTTATAATCCTGGAATTTCCTCCCTAATGGCATTGTGGGTTAACTGTCAGCAGGTGGACTACAATGGTTCAAGAAGTTGGCTCTCTACCACCTTCTCAAGGGCAACTAGGGACACCCAAGTCCCACAACTGCAATAAATAAATATGCACCTGGGTTCTTGGAGCCATAAACAGGTTACAGTACCAAAAAGAGGCCATTCAGCCTATGGTGTCCACACCAACTAAATAAACTAGCCACCTGTTCTAATCCCACCCTCCAGCATCTGGTCCATCACCTTGCAGGATATGAAGCTTTAGGATCATTTTTAAGTGAGAGGGTTTCTCTCTCAATCGTCTAATTTGACAGCCATTTCCCCGCTTTGGGTGAAAAACAGCTTCCCCTCATCCCCTCCTAAGTCATCTACTGATTACCTTAGATCTTAGGCCCCTGGAAACAGGTCTTCCCTGTCCATTCTAACTAAGCCCCTCATCATTTCTGTAACCTTGATTCAGTCACCATTCAGCCTCTTCTGCATTAAGGAGAACAATCACAGCCTTTCTAATCTCTCCTCCTCCTTTGATCTTTCAAGTCCTTGGCAATATTCTTGCAAATAACCTCTGCATTCTAACAATGGCCAACTGAGTTATGAGCAGAAATGTACATAAAACTCTCTTGGCTGCGGACTAAGCAGTGTCTTGGGTAGTTTCAGCATTATTCCCTGCCTCAAATGCAAGAGTTCACCCAATGAAGGGAAAGGTATAAAAGGGACCTGAGGGGTAACCATATCACGCAGAGGGTGATGCCAGAATGAGCTGCCAGAGGAAGTGGCGGAGGCTGGTACAGTTATAACATTCAAAAGGCATCTGGATGGATATATAAATATGAAGGGTTTGGAGAAATATGGGCCAAATGTTGGAAAATGAGGCTAGATTAATTTAGGGTATCTGGTCGACATGGACGAGTTGGACCGAAGGGTCTGTTTCTGTGCCATACATCACAGTGACTCCCTGCTGCCTTTGCCACCTGCCTATCTGTTCTGCCACTTTCAGGGACCTGTGAACATGCACTCCAAAGTCTCACTTCCTCTCCCCCTCCCAGTACCTTCCTTGGTTTCTTTGCCTCAAAATGCTTAACTTTACTCTTCTGTGGATTGAATTCCATTTACCTCTCACCCAACCAAGCCATTGATATTTTCCTGCAGTCCCTGTCACCCACATGGCCAATTAGACTTAAATCTCTGATTTAAGTCTAGTGCTGTCTCCAGCTATGTGTGATTTTGGACTTTAGTGCGTTGGCATAGCACGGTTTTTGGATGCAAGACGGGTGCACTGTGTGGTGTGTGAATGAAATCTAAGGAAATAAAATTTAATCCAATGGTGCATATTTTAATTTCAGAAAGTTTTAAAGTTAGTTAAGCTTTGTTTTTTTTTTTTAACTACACCATTCTCTGAATGAACTTCAGAGATGACTGGTCAGGTTTCAGTTGTAGTATTTGTCCAAAGGAGGCCTTTTGAGAGGTTCCAAGAGGAGAAGTCTCAGAACGATTCCGGGAGAGAGGGGAACTTGAGTGGAGAGAGAAGAGAAGTTAGGACTGTTCTCCCTGGAGCAGCGAAGGTTAAAGGGAGATTTAACCGGGTAATTCAAAATTATGAAGAGTTTTGATACGGTAGGTGAGTCGGTAACCGGGAATTTACAAGGTGCAAGAGAACAAGTGGGGGAGGTCATTTGGTTCAGGGGGTTGTTTAACTGAAATGCACTGACTTCAAAGGATGATGCAAGTGGATTTCAAAATGACATTCAAGAGGGAATTAAATTGATGCTTTCATTAAAAATATCTGCAAGAGGATGGTGAAAGAGTGGTTCTAATTGGAGAGCTCTTCCAGTGAGGCCTGATAGACAGGACTCCCCCTCCCCCTCCCCCTCCCCGTGTGGTGTGGGCTTGGAATGTTGATATTATGAACATTCCCTTGGTCTATTGTGTGGTGTGGATTGAGAATGTTTCTGCTGTAAACATTCTCCACCTATTGTTGTGCAACATGGTCTCAGCAGAGACGGCATTACACAAAATAAGATAGCTAGCTGCAATTTAATATTCACTGCAATTTCCATGAACTATGAAATATTAAGAAAAATTGCTCTTTATCAGGGCAACGAGTTATTCCAGCCCTGGCAATATAAATCAACCAGCAGAGCGAGGCCGCTGTCATTCCTAAGTGATAAAGGTAAGGGCGCCCTGTTCGCTTGTCATCCTATACTCATTGACCTACATTGGCAACAACCTATTTTAAAATTCTCATCCTTGTTTGTAAGTGGCCGTATGACGTTACCTCTCCAATCTCCTGCAGCCCTATCACTTCTGGATCTCTTGTGCGGTCCATTTTTGTTTTGTTGTTGTACCTTTGGCTGTCCAGGCTCAAACATGGCAACTGCACCAAACCTCTGCCACTTTCAATTTCCTGGATGCTGAAAACCTCCTTTCTTTGGCCAATACTATCTGAATGTCTCCCTACGTAGGTTAGGTGTCAAATTTCCTTTGGTCTTGCGAAGTGACATGGGATATTTTACTGCATTGTGTTATACAATTCAATGGTCTTGACTGATTTAATGTACCTCCTCACGCGGCCATTGGTGAAACAGTTTGAATGGGTTAGATGTTATTCATTAATGTACTGTACATAACACTCTGACCCAGCTCCCTTCAGTAAACATGGGCAGTCGGACTGATCCGGCACGTTTCCTAGTTGTGTCAGCGATTGAATGGATTTGCCACCCTGTTTGCACTCCATATTAGCTGAATTATATTTCATGGTGTAGCCCGGGATTGCTTTTAAATCAGCGTAGGATAGGCTGTTGGAACAGTGACCACTTCATGGTTCAGGATAATTTAAGTCTGTCTCTGTGGCTCACTGGTTGAACCTGACCTGGTGCTGTGTCGGACAGGTGGAGAATTTTCAGAGACAACAAGGTGCAGGGCTGGATGAACACAGCAGGCCAAGCAGCATCATAGGAGCAGAGAGGCTGACGTTTCGGGCCTAGACCCTTCATCAGAATTTTCAGGTTTTGTTCTCTACCTGCATTGCAATTGTGGATCTTATCTGAGAATGACGTGAGATGAGGTGGGGATGCTGCTTTACGCTTCAACACCCCCTGGCTGGTTAGGGGGTTGCAGATCAGTGCTATTTGTGTGTTAGGTAAGGGGCTTGGTCTCATTGCATGAGTAACCTGTTCGCGTTCATTTCTTCAGGGCAGCGCTTGAAGAATGGCTGTGTGGGGCGAGGTACCAACCAGGTCAAATCCATGAATTATTCACACTGCAGAGAGTGAAAGAGGTAAGGCAACAAAACCCAGGAGGTTGACAGATTCTCATCTCCTTTCCACTAAGCAAGTTGGAGGATGGTGGTGGAGGAAGCCACACATGATGATTTGGTTGTCCCCTACTCAAACCCAGTGCTGGAATGCTGAGCCCAACCTATTATTTCCCCAGCAATCACTCTATGCATTTTATATGTTACGCCTATCAGTAATTGAGCAACAGATTTAATAAAATGGAGGTCTCTATTCTGCTGCGTAAATGCTCAGCAAATCCTTAGAATGCAGCTCTGTCTGCTCTTTTAAAATTAAGGCACTCACCTATTCATATTATTAGTTGGCAGATTAGTTGCTACTTGTCCTGTGTCAGCTGCTGCCTAGTCAGCAGCAGTCTGGTGTCAGGTTCAGAAGGTCGTGAGTTCTGGTCCTGTTCCAGAGTCTCCAACACTATCACACGGTTGTGTGCTATCCAGTGGCAAGGTTGGAGGTGTTGACTTTTCAGCTGCTGCATTATAGTGAGCGCACTCTGTCTGCCCTAAATAACATAGGAAACAGGGCAACCGATTTCACAACAGCCACTGTGCTTCAAAATAAGTGTTTTGTTGGCTGCGAACCACTTTGGGGTGCCCTGTGGTTGTGAAAGGTGATATTAAAGATATCACCCCCTTTTTGTTTTTGGCACATGCCCCACCCCCTCTGCCCTTGGAGGCAGTGTTTATGAACCGTAATAGCGGAATAGAATATTTTTGCAATTACTGAGAAAAGCCACGAAGCAAGCTTCACCAGGGAGATCATTAAGTGCCTTATGTAAACAACTGATGATGTGCCAAACTGCCTTGTGAGGCAATGGTATATGGTGTTTTTAGTCTTTTAAAATCTTAGATTCCATTTCCCACTTCACATGTTCCTATCTTCAGGGTATTTGATATCAAACATTCAACAGTAAGTGTGGTCTAGATTTTCCTTTTTTTTTTTTTGGAAGCTTGTTTAACCAATGCACTTAATTAATTCCCTTGAGATAGAAAGCATTGTATCAGCAAAATTGCTTTGGTTCAATATGCCTGAATGTGTGTTGATTCCTCCTAATTATATACACAAAGATGACAGCATGGATGCTGATTTTGGACTAATGCAGCAGGGTTGAAAACCCAGCTTGTTTCTCTTTTGCCTGGGGACATAGCAGTTGTTGGTAAAGGTTGTCCTCCAACCTACAAGTCCAGCTCCCTGCAGAGTGGCTGGGGGCAGTGGCAATGCTCCTGACTGTCTTGACATAGTCGCTTTGCTGTAAGTTATCAGAGCCAGTGGACCCATAAGCTTTCTATGTACGTTGATAGGTACGGTGAATATTGGGTTCTTGTTTTAACTGTAAGGCTTTTTGAACATTTCAAAACGGTAGTTTTGTCAAACCTGATCCACAAGACGTCTTGGACTATCTCCTTAACCTTATTAAAAATGCTGATTTTTTTTTTTTAAAACTCTCTTGCTGGCAAAAACACATCTTTTGTCACTTCCATTCTCGTTTGTCTCTTTCACTCTTCCCTCTGCCGACTTCCACCCTCCCCTCCACACCCCAGCCCAAAAACACCTCCACCATGGTTCCACACAGAATGATGCTACTGCATTTGCTGTTTATGGCAGCTTCTCTCAGACTTTTTAAGATCTCGCAGCTGTCTTGTCTTTAATTTTTTCGATAGTCTGTGGAAGATTTTTTTCCTCTGTCATGTATTCAGCAGACCCTGTTTTCAGCAGTAACTGTTGTGAAAGTTGAGAAGGTGCAGGAAAACAAGCAAGGATGTTGCCGGGGTTGGAGGGTTTGAGTTGTAAGGAGAGGCTGAATACGCTGGGGCTATTTTCCCTGGAGCATTGGAGGCTGAGGGGTGAAGTTAGAGAGGTTTATAAGATCGTGAGGGGCATGCAAGGGTGAATAGCCAAGGTCTTTTTCCCAGGGAGTCCAAAACTAGAGAGAACAGGTTTAAGGTGAGGGGAAAGATTTAAGAGGGACCTGAGGGGCAACTTTTTCACGCAGAGGGTGATGCATTTATGGAATCAGGTGCCAGAGGAAATGGTGGAGACTGGTACATTTACAACATTTTAAAAGGCGTCTGGATGGGTACATCAGTGGGAAAGGTTTGGAGGAATATGGGCCAAATGGTGACAAATGGGACTGGAATAATTTGGGATATCTGCTTGGCATGGATGCGTTGGACCAATGGGTCTGCTTCCATGCTGTATACGTCTGTGACTCTCATTAATTCAGTGTTTTGAATTATCTTTTAGTTTCCTTGTAAAACTAGGATTGACAAGTCCCAAAACAGCTTCTTTATAAATGGGATAAGTAAGGAGTTGATGTATGTGTAAGGGAAGAAGGGGAGTTTGGTTAATCTCATTCATCACTTTTGTACATTGGTCATTGCCAGTCACTGCTAGCTCACAGACAGGGAAAGGATATTTGCAATTTAGAGTTATGCTTAAAGCACATTTTTGTTCTAACTGGAGCAGGACTGCTGCTGATACTAATATAATTTACCAAGTTCTTTATATCCTCCGTATTTTCAATTCTGCAACCTGTCCTCCTTGCATGCCCGTAACAATTCTTTAATAATTCTTTTGAGCCACATTTTGGATGATAGAATCACTGAACCTCAGCACGTGCTTTCATGTTATTCACAAGTCTGTTTTGTATGTATTTGTTTCGGTTTACAAAAGACAGCCAACTGGAAACAACTCAAAATTCCTTCTACTCAGGCAAGCCTAAGAGTAAGAGGCCGTTTGGGTCTTTGAGCCCACTTAGCTTCACCTTCCTGCACATTCCCATGTCCTCCATTGATACCTAAAGGTCCAAAAATACTACCTCGGCCTTGAAATACTGAAACTTTGCAGCAACAGCCTCTGAGATAGCGAATCCCTGAGATTAGCTAACCCCTCAATATCCCTTCAGTTTAGTTTAACAGGCAATTAAATGGGGCGGCACGGTGGCTCAGTGGTTAGCACCACTACCTCTCAGCGCCACGGACCCGGGTTCAATTCCAGCCTCAGACGACTGTGTGGGAGTTTGCACATTCTCCCCATGTCTGCGTGGGTTTCCTCCCACAGTCCAAAGATGTGCAGACATGGTGGCTTGGCCAGGCTAAATTGCCCATAGTGACCTGGGATGTGTAGATTAGGTGGGGTATAGGGCAGTGGGTCTGGGTGGGATGCTCTGAGGGTCGGTGTGGACTTGTTGGGCCGAAGGGCCTGTTTCCACATTGTAGGGATTCTATATACAATTACCCTGAAAAGCAAAGAGATAATTTGAGCCATAAGGAGAGATTGGACAAACTAACACCTGATAGAAGCTTCTAAAAATGAGAAGCATAGATAGGGTTGACAGTCAGAATCTTTTTCCCAGAATTAAAATGTCTAATACTAAGGGGCATGCATTTAAGGTAACGGGGGTTTCAAAGGAGGGGTGAGGGGCAAGTTCTTTTAGAAAGCGTTAGGAGTCTGGAACGTGTTGTCGGGGGTAGTGGTGGAGGCAGAAACAATAGGGCTGTTTAAGGGGCTTTTAGATCAGCTCATGAATATGCAAGGAATGGAGGGATCTGGACCATTGACAGGCAGAAGGGATTAGGTTAATTTGGCATCACGTTCGATGCCAAACCTGGGCCAAAGAGCATATTCCTGTGCTGTAGTGTTCTATGTGGACGCCACTTTCATCGACAAAGTGCTACTATAGAGTCTTTAATGTGTTGTCTTTGGAGATATTATTGGTAAGAGAAAGCAGTGATCTTAAATTGAGACGAAATTAGTTGTATGCAGGTAGTGCCTTTGATAATCTGAGGCTGCTACCGAGTGCTTTACATCCAAGGCAGTATTTTTGAGTGTAGTCTGATTAAAGATGTATTTTTTTTCTTCTGTTAATAATTGATAACTGTTGCAGAGGTGTTCAAGGGAAAAATTAGTTTTTGATTTCTTTGTCTTTGATAGGACATGTATCACTGACAAGTCCAGCACTTTTTTAAAAAAAAGTTTTGATTTGATTTATTATTGTCACATGTACCTAGGTTCAGTGAAAAGTTTTGTTTTGCGTGCAGTACAAGCAGATCACACCATACAAAGTGCATTAGGGAAATAGAACAGAGCGAGGAGTACAATGTTACGGCTGCAGAGAAGGCGCACCAAGAGCGAGATCAACATTAAATTCAGATTTTGAATGGTCTGTTCAGAAATCTGATAGCAGAGGGGAAGAAGCTTTGTTGCTCACCCACAATTGCCCTCAAGCTGAGTGGTGTGTCAGAGTCATTTTGCAGATCACTTCAGAGTTGATCGCATTGCTGTGGGTCTGGAGTCGCATGTACGCCAGGCAGCGTAGGGATGACTGGTTTCCTTCCCTGAAGGGTATTCATGAGTCAGATGGTTTTATATCATCATAGAATCTCCTACAGTGTGTAAGCAGGCCAGTTGGCCCATCAGGTCCATGCCACTCCTCCAAAGAGCAATCCACCCAGACCCACCCCTAACCTGTCCCTGTACCCCGCATTTCCCATGGCTAACCCACTTAGCCTGCACATCGTGGGACACTATGGGCAATTTAACATGGCCAATCCACCTAACCTGCACATCTTTGGACTGTGGGAGGAAACCCACACAGATACGGGGAGAATGTGCAAACTCCACACGGTTATCCGAGGATGGAATTGAACCCAGACCCCTGGTGCTGTGAGGCAGCGGTGCTAACCACTGTGCCATCATGCCACCCTAATGACCATCATTGGTAGTAATGGTCAGAAGTAATAATGAAATTGAAACGAGCTTTCAATTCCAGGTTTAATTCATTGAATTTAAATTCCACCAGCTGCCTCATTGGGATTTGAATGCTTCTCCAAAGAGGATTAACCCTTTGGTTTACTCATCCAGTGATAGGATGCCACCACTTCCTCCAAAATGGAATCGGAGCTAAAGAGGCTCAGCAGTATTTTGACCTCTGTATGTTGACATCATTTCTGTCTCAGATTGTAATTTGTGTCAGAAAAATAAGTTGTCAGCAATGACCTTCATCTCCAAGTTCTGACACTTTGTACATGCAGTTATCAATAAACCGGAACACAGCACAGGCTCCAACTCTTCCATCCAATGTTCTGTGCTGGTAATTGTGTTGTATATATTCTGCTCCCTTACTTGATCTCTCCCTATCAGCATGCTGTCCTGTTCCTTTCTCCCTCGTGCACACATCGAGCTTCCCCTTCAATACATGGATGCTAATCAACTCGGCTGTTCCTTTTTTTACCCAGTGTTTTTTTTGTGTGGAATGAACTGCCAGAGGAAGTGGTGGGTGGAGGTACAGTTACAATGTTTAAGAAATTTGGATTGAATACTTGAATTTAAAAACTAACAAAATCTAATGAGGCAGAGGATTCAGCGATGTTTGATTTCCATTTGATCTGATAGGTGCATCAAGAGGAGTGAGTGAGTCCTTCGCAGAGATGAATGACACTGCCAGGTAAGTGTGACAACTCTATAAGACCAGTGGCAAATTGAAAGATGTTGGGATCTGTTAGAAAAGGAAGCAAGTTGACTGAATGACATCCAGAATGTCTGGCTAGATGGCTAAGGAGGGGAATTAGAAGCAATATCTAGGATATATTTATCAAGAATTCCATCAGGGTTAAGGAAATGACCATCAGAAGTATTTGTTTGAAGAGATATGTTCACATCTTAGAGAATATTAAAGCACCTTAGCTTTGGAAGAGGACAAATACCATTTGGCAGAGATTGAAACATTTTCATCTGTGAATGATGGTCTGGATGATGTCAGTCACCAGCTTTGGGATCCTTTGATCTCCTCTGCTGAGTGTAAGAGCCTTGTTGCAAATTAGACTGAACTCTGAGTAGGTCTGGGCTCATAATTATGCCTCTCCCAAGTTTGATACTGTTATTCTGCGGCCATGTGCTGTGAGAAATGGAACATTATCAACGCTTGTGTATTTACTGAGAAAATACACATTATTGCAGCTTTCCACTTTGTACCCATCAGGTTAATTCTCAAAACAATACCAAAGCAAAGGGCAAAATATTTGAAAGGAATGAGATAAGAGTTGGTTAGCGAGTGGACTTGGGTCAAGGGATCGCCATGGAGAATGCACCAGTTAGTTATGACTGACAGTTGACTGCCAACCTTTGTTTATACATTTTAAACCAGACAAGATGCTTGATCGAGGCACAGCTTTGAGAAATGAACCAGAGAATGGCTGCGACCTATATGGTTGAGGTGAAACAGGCACTGTGTGGAGATGCTCTTTATCCCCACATGTATATTAATATATGCAACTTTCAGTATACATGACTGACTATGCTAAATCAATCGTCAGCGTAATTCTTTGACTGTCTGGTCAACATTTGCTAAATTATCCTATCGTGGAATCACAGTGACGTGGGATATTTGTTGAGTTTTGTGTACATGGGCTAGTTGGATATGGTCTGTACATTGTTGTGAACAAGCAAAGGGCCATACTGTTTGAAATGACCCATCAGTCTTTGGGATGTACAGCACCACACCAGCACTGAAACTCATAGACCACATTACTCAGTTTTGTGGTGGACCATCTTGTTAGCTGGACAGTGGCGCCCTGTTTAAAGGGTGAACACCACTTGTGTTAATTCGACATAGTAGCAGTGTGAAACAGCTACCTTCGTGAGTTGCAAAAGTATTTTGGTACCTTGCCCTTACAGGGTAATCTGGGGTAGACTTCACACTTTACAGGACCAGAGGTGACAGCCCTTAGCCCGTTCATGAATTTACGCACTGCAGTGAAAATTGGGTTTGGTCGAGGTGTGCATTATTCTGTAGGATGGTTTTGATGAAACCTTTTTTCAACATTTTAAGGTTGCATAGTAAACAAATGGCTCAGCCCCAGTTTGAGGGTTCCAATAAAGCCAGTATTATACTGCATAGAACTTCAAGAATCCCCCCCCACACACACAATGCATGGCAAAGTAGACAATAGTAGACAACTTTGGGCTGATTTTCCCCTTGTATGTATCTGATGACACATTTCTTACGTTTGAATCTGTGGTCGAGCGTGCAAAATTGTTTTAGCAGGCTCTATCCTGTCTGCCTTTTAAAGTTAAGGCCACAATCTTGTGAATGGGGCTAGGCCATTTATTCTCCACTGATGAAATAAGGCATGTTAAAGCCATCCTGTGGGAACATTGCTGCCATGATCCGATAATTTCTTGCCTTATGTTGCACACTTGAGAACAGACTGTTTAGCAGCGGGAGCAATGATTTCCCTTTTTCTATGTGCTATACTGCGCATATTGTCCCCTTCAAAGGGAACAAAGCATGGAATGAATTTAACACGGTGCAGACCCAATAACAGCATCAGGACAACTACAGCACGAATAACTCCAGGAATATCTGGAATTCCAAATATCCGTCCTCGATGACGTAGTTGATCTTGGGTCACATCCTGCATGCCGGTTCATGATTGTGGAAGCCCGCTCCCTCCATAGCTAGAATGTGAGAGGGGCCAGAAAGGGGGCTGAGTGCCTTCACTAAGGGATACATCAGAGTAATGTTCAAGTTCAATGTGAAAATTGAGGAATTGAAAGAGAATACCTGATGCCAAGCGGAAACAGTGCCCAGCACGTCTGGTGCCTTTAGACAGGAAGGCAAAGACCGCAGTCACTAGGCAGTAGAGACAGAGGTTAAGCAACATAAGCAATTCCAACTTTTTATAAATAAAGTGGGAGGAAATTGCCCATTCCATCATTTCGGAGAGTCTGACAGAACCGTTCTAAAGTCTGAAACTTTCTTTTTCTCATCTTCCGATTTATTCCTTCTCGTTATCACTGGCAAGACTGGGATTTGTTCACCATCCTAGTTAGGGTGAGGAGATGAGAGAACTGCATGGCTTGCTAAGCCATTTTGTGGTGTGGGGTTAACATTATTGTGGGATTAAAAACGGAAATCACTGGAGAAACTCAACAGGTCTGTCAGCGTCTGTGGAGAGAGAAAAAGAGTTGATGTTTTGAGTCCAAAGCCTTTTTGCAATTCAGACTCACCTAAGAGTCTTTGGATTCAAAACGTCAACCGTTTTTCTCTCTCAGCAGATGCGGACAGACCTGCTGAGTTTCGTCAGCAATATCTGTTTTCATTTCAGATTTCCAACATCTACAGTATTTTTGCTGTTACATTATTCTGAGGCTTTAGTTACAATATCAACCAGTTAAAGATGGAAGCTTTCCTTCCCTAAAGGACATCTATTGGCTCTCCTTAGCAAAGCCTTGAAGATCATTTCTATTAATATCAGATTTTCATTTTCCCAGGCAATCTTACACAGCTGAATTTCTCAGTTTATCATGATGGGGTTTGGGCTCCATTCTCTCGATTACCAGTGCAAGAGTCACACAACCAGTACACTGCATCATTTCCTTACTGGGGACATGACCCTATTGATGAAAGTGAGAGATGGCAATTTCCTCATCCTTGTACACAGTATCTACTGTTTGGTGTTTCTGTTAAAACAATACTTGGTTTAGCCCAGGTCAGCTTGCTATGTGATGTGTATCTAATAGCATTAGTGTGCTGCTTTTGGCCTTTGCAGTGGTGACGGACCACACCAGGAACAGCCAATACCAGAGACGTTCTCGAAACAGAGCAGACGAGGCTATTGCGGCTGCTGTAAAGAGTTGTATACCTGTCTGGAACAGGTAAGGATAGTGTGAGTGCTTCACAATTGTCAAAAAATAAATTGAGTCTAGGATAACTTGACAATGCAGGCCCCCGTGGTCGTCATCTTGGGTTACTGGCGCATCCGCTTCTGAACGGGAAGGTCAGGGATTTGAGCTGAGGGGCAGAGAATTCCGCATTTAACCTTGGCTGACAATCCAGTGCAGTGCTGATGGAAGGCTGCACTGTCAGCGATGCTATTGAGCTTGATGGCCTATTCACTTCCCCAAGGTGATTAAAAAGGATTACGCAGCTGTACCTGAAGCAAAGCAGGGCAGTTCTCTCTGCTTTCCCGGCCCATGTATTTTCCCTTGACCAATATCAATAGAGCGGTAACGTGAAAGCAAAATGATGCCGAAGCTGGAAATCTGAAACAAAACGTTGGAAATACTCCACGGGTCCGCCAGTTTCTGTGGATCCTGAACCAGATCACAGAGCAGAAACAGTGACTGTCAGCGACCTCACATCAATCGCCTTTTAAAAGAGGAGTTCCTATTCTAATGGAAAACGGGGGAAAATCTCTGCACTGGTTGGAGTCAGGCTTGGCACGTAGTTCAATAATAATCAGCTCCAGGGTGTTTCTGTAGGAGTTCCTCACGGTAGTGTCTTAGGCTCGACCATCTTCAGTCCCACCACCAATGATCTTCCTCCAGGATGTTCACTGATGATAGTATGGTACAATGTTCAGCACCATTCCCGACTCCTCAGTTACTGAACAGTCCGTGTTCAAAGGCAACAAGATCTAGACAATATCCAGGCTTGGGCTGACAATTTTCAAATAACATTCATGCCACACAAATGCCAGTCAATAACCATATCCAATAAGAGACAACCTAACCACTACCCCTTGACACTCAATGGTGTTACCATCACTGAATCCCCGACTATCAACTTCCTGGTTGGGTGGGGAGGGGAGGTTATTATTGACCGGAAACTCGGCTGGACTTGCTGGATAAATACACTTACTATAAGAGCAAGTCAGAGGCTAGGAACACTGCGGTGAGTAACTCACTTCCTGACTTCCCAAAGGCTGTCCACCACTTTACAAGGCAAAGTCAAGATAGTGATGGAATGCTTCCCACTTGCCTGGATGGGTGCAGCTCCAACAACACAGGAAGCTTTGACACCATCCAGGACAAAGCAGCCCGCTTGATTGGCACCATGTCCACAAGCATCCACTCCCTTTACCACTGACGCTTAGTAGCAGCACTGTATACTACCTACAAGATGCACTGCAGAAATTCACCAAAGATCCCTTAACCCCTTCCAAACCTATGATTACTTCCATCGAGAAGGACAAGGGCAGCAGATACCTGGGAAAACCACCACCATCTGCAAGTTACACTCGCCATCCTGACTTGGAAATATTTCGTTGTTCCTTCAGTGTTGCTGGGTAAAAATCCTGAAACTCCAACCCCAGCCCTGCCGAACAGCATTGTAGGTCAACCCACACAGCACATGGACTCCAGCAGTTGAAGAAGACAGCTCCATACCACCTTCTCGAGGGCAGCTAGGGCTGGGCAATAAATGCTGGCCAACAAAGGCCATGAGAGAATAAAAAAAGTTGTCTCGAAAGTTAGGCTGTAAAGCTTCAATACTGGTGCCTAGTCTCGGGCTGTCCAATCAGAAGTGGTTTTCCCTTCTTTACCCTATCAGTTTCCTTTAGTATTTTGAAAGCTACAAACAGCCCCTTAACTTTTTAAATTCCAGTCCTATTTTGAGCAATACTTGTAACTTAATCCTTTGGGTAAAGAAACACCATCCCCACTCAACCAATATATATCCTTCCTGAAGTGTCCAGAGCTAGGTTTAGTTTCTTGGGGTTGTTTAGCTAAAGAATGACTGACTTCTCGTATTCTTTACCTCTAGTCTGAAAGGCGAGCGTTCCATTTGGAATTTTGATTACTTTCCATACCAATTTGTGACATTTTCATGGATTTCCCAGATTCCCCAAGTCTCTCCGGCACTCTGCTGCTTCCAGCTATTTGCTGTGTCGGAAGTACTGTGTTTTATCCTTAAAGCCCAAATCGTCTCTACTTGCCTACACTGAAATCAATTTTGGGGGCTTTTGCGGCGCAGTGGTAGTGTCCCTGCCTCCGAGCCAGGAGGCCCAGGTTCACGTCCTACCTGCTCTGCATCCTAATATTGTTGACTTTTCAGACAAAAGCTACACTGAAATCTGTGTTGCCAAATTGAATTGAGCCTTCAAAATGTCTTGCGTGCTCCCATCTACGGTGCTAAAATTGCTGCCCGTTTCTCTTCGGCAAATTAATTCACGCAGTTTTCTGTCCCGATTTCCCCCAGAATTGTTAAGAAATGAAAATCATTGAGGCTTCATCGCCTCTGCGAAAGTGATATGTGTGTTCTGTCTGGTTTTTAATCTTGTGACAATCCCATGAAGATGTTGCTCGGCTCTAGGAGCGCGCACGCTCCTGTTGGAGAAAGAGTCCAGGCACCCCTTTGAAACTAGATGTGTACAACCTCTCCCACTCGCTCCAGTTGGTTATAGCAGCTTGCGGCTGCCATACGGCACAGGAAGATCCCAGGCTCCTTCCCAACCTGTCTCGGAATCCCTGCAGTGTGGAAGCAGGCCATTTGGCCCTTCGAGCCCACCCAGACCCCCCCATCTAACCCTGCATTTCCCATGGCTACTCCACCTAGCCTGCACATCATGGGACAATTTAGCATAGCCAATCCACCTAACCGACACATCTTTGGACTGTGGGAGGAACTGGAGCACCTGGCAGAAACTCTGCAGCTGCGGAGAGAATGTGCAAACTCCACACAGACAGTCGCCTGAGGGCGGGATCGAACCCGTGTCCTTGGCGTTGTGAGGCAGCAGCGCTAACCACTGAGCCACCGTGCTGCCCACCCATGCTGGCCCCTGCTGAAGCACTTGGCGAGAGTTGGTAGCAGATGGTTAAGGTGAGCTGCGGCAGCTCCGCAAAGAGGAGGCAGCACGTGGCAGGTTCTCTAATGCTGAATGCAGTTTGTAAGGGAGCCCATGCAAGGGGATAGGAACAGTTTCTGAGAGTGAGGCTGGAGAGCAACTGTCTGGTAGTGCAGCCACTCCAAGGAGTGAACTTCTCATACGCTTGGGTATATATCCTAAGCCAGGTCAAGACTCTTTCAAAGAGGGAGTGAGGTGGGGTGAAGGTAGCTGCAAATGAAATAGAGTGTAATATTGGCCAAGTAGCACTCACTATAACGTTTTGTGCTTTGTTTCTGCTCAGCACCTTCAGACCACTCGGCACCGGCAATTTGCCAGTGAGTCCAGGAGCCAAAGACCAGCTAAAAGCCTCATGGAACGCTTCCTGCAGGATGTCATCCAGTACCACCCTTCCCGATATAAGGACAACAGGTAAACCAAGGGCACTCTTAGACATGAAGAATAAAGAAAATTACAGCACAGGAACAGGCCCTTCGGCCCTCCAAGCCTGTGCCGATCCAGATCCTCTATCTAAACCTGTCACCTATTTTCCCAGGATCTGTATCCCTCTGCTCCCTTCCCATTCATGTATTTGTCTAGATACATCTTAAATGACGCTATCGTGCCCACCTCTACCACCTCCACTGGCAACGCATTCCAGGCACCCACCACCCTCTGCGTAAAGAACTTTCCATGCATATCTCCCTTAAACTTTTCCCCTCTCCCCTTGAAATCATGACCCCTAGTAATTGAGTCCCCCACTCTGGGGGGAAAAAGCTTCTTGCTATCCACCCTGTCTATACCTCTCATGATTTTGTAGACCTCAATCAGGTCCCCCCTCAACCTCTGTCTTTCTAATGTAAATAATCCTAATCTATTCAACCTCTTTTCATAGCTAGCGCCCTCCATACCAGGCAACATCCTGGTGAACCTCCCCTGCACCCCCTCCAAAGCATCCACGTCCTTTTGGTAATGTGGCGACCAGAACTGTATGCAGTATTCCAAATGTGGTTGAACCAAAGTCCTATACAACTGTAACATGACCTGCCAACTCTTGTACTCAATACCCCGTTGGTATGAACACTGTAACTCTCCACCACTTAGCACCTGACGGTCCCGAGAGCTGGTCTGTGCACCTCGTCGCTGTCTATGCACGTGGCCTTGTATGTGCAGCATAAAAGTTATAGAACTGTGATCTGATTAAGGTAGATTGGCATATTTGCCATTGCCTCTGTGAATTCCTAGTTGCGAGCACTTAAGAATATTTTAATAGTTCAAAACAGCGAGAGAACCTCATGAAGCTCTTTCCTACCACTTATCAATGGGCCTAAGATGGCAGAACGGTGATGAGCAGAACTGCTTAAAGTGTAAAAGAATCATCTAGGCTCTAACAAAATCAAAACAGCACATGAAATACTTTATTGGCTGTAAAGTGGTTCAGGTGCTGAGGCCATGAAAGGTGCTGTATAAAATGCACGTCCTTTCCTTTTTGAGCATTTTGATGTTTGCCCAAGTAGGGGTAGGGGAGAATTGTTCAGATGCATGATGATCCTCCCTGCCTAAAGTAGAATGCTCAATACAATGTACTTCAAGCAGTCATGGTTTGCCGATTTGCCATACCAACCTTTTTTGTTAAGCTACTGGCATTGACATTAACTGAGAAGCTCGATCCTTATTTCATCTGGAGTGTTGCTTCTCTTGCCACGTAGAGACGTAGAGTTGTACAGCATGGAAAAAAGACCCTCCAGTCTAACTTGTCCTTGCCAACCAGATATCCTAAATTAATCTAGTCGCATTTGGCCCATATCCCTCTAAACCCTTCCTATTCATGTACCCATCCAGATGCCTTCTAAATGTTGTAATTATACCAGCCTCCACCACTTCCTCTGGCAGATCATTTCATACACACACCACCCTCTGCATGGAAAAAGTTGCCCTAAGCACCCTTTTGTATCTTTTCCCCCCTCATCTTAAACCTTCTGGTTCTGAACTCCCCCATCACAGGGCAGAGACCTTGGCTATTCACCCTATCCATGCCCCTCATGATTTTATAAACTTCTGTAATGTCACCCTTCAGCCTCCGACGCTCCAGGGAAATTAGCCCCAGCCTTATTCAGCATCTCCAATAGCTCAAACCCTCCAACCCTGGCAACATCCTTGTAAATCTTTTCTGAACCCTTTCAAGTATAACAACATCTTTCCTATAGCAGGGAGACCAGAATTGAATGCAGTATTTCCAAAGTGGCCTCACCGATGTCCTGTACAGCCGCAACATGACCTCCCAAAACCTATACTCAATGCACTGACCAACCAAAGCAAGCGCACCAAACACCACCTTCGCCACCCTGTCCACTAACACAACTCCACTGTTGTCGAAAAGTGCCATACGTTTTACAAAGCGAAACATTTTACCAATCAAGACAGATGCAGTAATGCCAAACTTCAAATTATCGCAACAATTTATGCCAAAGAAAGGGAATATCTTCAAGCCTTGTGTCTTTTTATTTTGAATTACCAAGCAGCCTATGTTTCCTCAGGTCTTTCTCTACCGTAGCATCTTTAGCCAACCAGAGTTGACTTGTCAACCAGTCAGCCTTTTCTCCCGTTGCGTAGCTTGTTGTGATTGTTTGTTTGAAATTGGACACTTCTGCATTTGTTCTATTGGGTGCAGATTGAAGCGCTGTGGCAACACGTCTCCGGTTTCAGCAATATTCAAGCCCTGGGAACACGAAACTGTTGTTAACTTCTTGGCTTGTACTCCTCAGGTCGACGTACATGGATCTGCCCTCCATTAGTGCCCCACTTCTCCCCAAGAAGGAGCTGGCAGACATATACTCCTACCAAGATGACAAGGAGACCGTTGGGACCAGGGAGGAGTTACCCAGCACGGATAACGAATCCATCCGATCGGCGCACTTGATGGTGGGGAAGAACGTGGCAAGTTGCAATCGGGTTAAAGCCAGTGTATCATCTCCCGTGTCTGTTGGTGCTCCACTGGGTCACAGAGACACCGCGGCTAAAGAGACGGTGTGTGGGGAGCACTTGATTGACATCAGCTCTGTGACATCTAAAGGCTTGCGAAGGACTGCTTTTCTGGGAGTGACTGAAGGCGTCCTCTCGTGCGGCAAAGCGGATCGGCACGGACATCGGATCGATTTGGGCCTGTACAGACCGACGCCGAGGAAAGGAATAAAAGACCACGATAAAACCAACCCGCCGGCTGTCAGCCAACCCAGGTGCGAGCCGCACGAAAACTGGAATCCCCCTCAAACGAACTTTCCCAACGTCTCTGCGGGGCCAGCTTTTCGCTCTTCCAGGCTGCACCATGTTACCTCTCAGGGTGCCACGGCGGGCTCCCCTCTTCCTCAACTCAGGGACTACACCGGGCCCGGCAGCCCGCGCTGCGCCGCTGGGCGAAGCCAAGCCGAGGAGTGCAGGCCGCAGAACAGGAACGCTGCCACCTGCCTCAGCGACCTCAGGGAGGCGAAGATGGTGGACCGCATCGAGGACCTGGTGTCGGAGACCATCGAGACAGTCATTCAGAAGTACTGCAACAGGCGGACACCACAGTCTCAGGACAGCGACAGCGAGAATTCAGCAGCGGAGGTCAAGGGGGTGCCTACCTTTTGTCAGCTTGAGAAGAAAAGGAAGGCAGTGGAGGCGGGCCTGCAGAGCAGCGTTCCAGGCAGGAAATGGCCCCCCGAAGGAGAGCACCATCCAAGTGCACCTTTGAACAGCGGTGACCTGGTCTGCAGCAGGCAGGCAATGCGTGATACGGCATCTTGCTTCAAGAAGATGCTCTCTTTAAGCCTTTCCAGCGAAAGAAAGGCCGGGGGCCAGCGTCAAGCCGCGGGCGAGGACGGCAGCTCCGGTGGCAGCATCTGTTCCCTTGGCAGTCAGCTGGGGCACCTGAAGTCGACCAGCAGCTCCGAGTGGGACACCTCCGTCAAGGTGGAGAAAGACTGCTCGCGGGTGGCCAGCAAGGACTTGGAGCTGCTGACGGATACCCAGATAACCCTCGACGACCGAGGCTACAAAACCCAGCTGAGCTCCGTCCTGCGCTTCCGGCCGGAGGAGTGCGACAAAACAGACGAGGAGTGCCCTGCCCGCTCGGAGAGCCACGCCAAGGCGGACCAGACGGGAGACGGGCAGCAGGCTCCCGAAGGCGATCGGAAGCTTCGGTCGCTGCCCTGCGTACCCGCCTCCTTCGCCGGGAAGACCTGGTCGGAAATCATGGCGGAGGATGATCTGAAGGTGGAGGCGCTGGTCAAAGAGTTCAAGGAGGGGCGGTACTTATGTTACTTCGACAGCGAGTCGTTGGCCAACTGCGGCAAGAAGCAACGCAGAAAGCACCGGTCCTGCCACAAAGACGCACCGCAGGCCCCCTCCAAGGCATCAGCCGAAAACGCCGGGGCTTTGCCCCACTTGCAGGAGGCCAACGACGAGGCGGAGCCCAAGCCAGAAGCCTGCAGGCCAGAGGCGGGCAAGAAGCCAGGCCTGAGGCACTGCCGCCTGGCGTCCCGCTGCCAGGTGGTGAAGGTGAGCCACGGCACCCAGACCAGCGAGGCCAGCTACCCGGTGGTCAAGAAGAAGTCACGGCGGGCGGAGCAGGAGCCCGAGAACGTGTGGGCTGGCACCGAGGCTGAGGCTGAGGACAGGCCTGGCGCTAAGGCCAGGCTGTGCTCGATGCGGCTGCCCAGGGCCTACCGCAAGATCATGAGCCCGGTGCAGCCACGGACCGTCATCTACGTGCTGTCGTCGCCGGACTTTGCGTCGGCCGCGCAGGCTGCCTGCCACGAGGCCAAGAGGACCTCGAAGGCATCCGACGACGGCGCCAGCCCGGCCAAGTACAAGTACAAGAAGTCGCCGGTCAGGTACTATGATCCGACCACCAACAGGATCGTCGGAACGCCGCCCGGAGCCCACCATGTGCGGCAGCTCTTCAGGAGCCTGAGCCCGGACATCAATATGGGGCAGCTTGCCGACAAGTCGCGGATCAAGGCCGTGGGAGGAGGAGCGGTCCCCACCGCGGCGCTCCCGCATCCGGGTAATAACCAGGCCTCAGGCCTGTGGCCTACTGCTGCCGCCGCCCCCTCGTCCTCTTCCCTCAAGGAGCGGCCTCCTGGCGAGAGCCCCGGCAGTGAGTGCCCGTCCAAAAGCACCGGCGTGGCCTCCAGCTCCCGCCAGCCATCCCTGTCCCGCTCACTGGGCTCGGACGGGGGGCTGAGGCCTCCGCCTGCTCCTCCTCAGCACCAGCGCTGCCCTCGCCGCCGCCGCCACCACCTCCTGTCGGAGCCCAAGAGCGGCCTCCTGTCACCGCTGAGGAAGGAGACGCCCGAGTCGCCTTTCGGCAAGCTCCAGGTGTACGTGGGCCCCAGGAGCCGGAAGCCTCCGGACAAGGAGGGCCCGAGGCAAGGCTCTGGAGAAGGACGGGTGACGGGCTGTGAGGAGGAAGAGGAGGAGTTGGAGGACGGTGATGGGGATGGGAGCAAGGAGGATGGCGCCGCCGGAGCTCCTCCGGAGCCCCGGCCTGCCCTCAGGGGCGCCTCATCCCACTCTGACACGGGTCCACCTACCGCCAGTCCCCCACCCAGCCGCAGGCCCCGTCTCAGGCCTGCTTCCAGGGACGCTGCCTCGGGCAGGATGGCGCTGCGGAGGGAGGCCGAGGTGGTGGTTGTCCCCCGGCAAAGCCCTCGCCAGGCCACCCGCAAGAGAAAGTGAGCCCCTTGCCCTACATCACCCTCCATCATTCTCCATTTGTGGGGCTGGGGCAGCCTCCTGACTGTCTACCACCAACACCAACACCTCCAAGGCCCATTTCTGACCTTCCCCTCCCTTGCACCGTCTGCCTCTCTAAATCGTTGAGTGTTTTTTTTTATTATTTCTATTTGTATGAAGTACTTCAGGGAATTTGCAGCTGAAACACACACACAAAAAAAATTGCAGCCTGTATTTTTATAAAGAGCCCTGGCGTTTTTCTTTACAGTGTCTTGAGTTCAAACATTGGAGCACTGAGCGATTTTGTTACAAAGCGCACCTCGGATGGTTTTTGTAGTTTTAGATGCTTTGAATCCAGCTAGCCAGACTTGACACATATATCTGGAGTAGATGAGACTTGAACCCAGACCTTCTGGGTAGGGATACTGCCACTATGCCACATTCTTCATGTTTGGAGTGTCTGGACTGTTTGTTCTACCTAGTCTAAGCTAGGGTTTAAGCTGCTTTGTTTCAATTCTCTCCTTTTGACCTTCCTTCTGTCTATTTCCCAACCCCTTAGCCTTCTGTCTATTCCCCTACCCCCCAGCATTGAGATTCCCCTTCAAGTTAGTGTGCTGTGTTCCCAGAGGAGCATAGACAGCTATCACATACTGGAGAGATAACTTGTGCTAAGCTTTTAACCAAAGAGCCTCATCTTACCCCAGTGTCCCGCCACTGAGGCAGGAGGCCTGGCTTCAGGTCCCACCTGCTCCATGACATCTCTGAACAGGTTGACTTGAAAATAGCAAACTGTTTTGTTAACCAGCACCTTACAGGGCCAAGAGTGGTTGATTCAATATTCCAGATAATCAAAAGGTCCACACAGTCAATGTAAAAACACGCAGTAATAGAAATGTAATGCAGGGGTTATACACGTCACTTTGCACATTATTTACAGCATAAATCACTTACATGATAATGTGACTTCGCCTTAAAGAAAATGTAACAGTTTCTCACTCCCGCCCTCAACTTACAATTTGGACATTTGATGAGAAATTAACTTGAAATTAATCAACCGTTGATGTTTTGTGTGGGTGTTCAATCCAGCAAGTAAATTTACGTTGAGTTAAATAAATTTTAAAAAAAATTGGACAGACAAACCCAGTAGGTTTTTTTTGCAGGTTTTTTGAGTGGGGTGGTTCACAAGGTGCCGGTTAAAACAAAGTTTGCTGTTCTTCTCATGTTGGTGATGACAAGTTTCACATTCTACCCGCACACTTGCTAGTTTTCAGAGATAGTAGGAACTGCAGATGCTGGAGAATCCGAGACAACAAGGTGCAGAGCTGGATGAACACAGCAGGCCAAGCAGCATCATAGGAGCAGAAAGGCTCTTTCTGCTTGGCCTACTGTGTTCATCCAGCTCTGCGTCGTCTTGTCTCACGTGCTAGTTTTGTTTATTTTTAAAAGAAGCATTCCCCCACCCCCAAAGGAAAAAAAATCTCAATTGGATTTATTAATTGCCACCTTTGTACTTCTGTCCTCGTCTTACAGGACGATCAGGTAAAGGGGAGGAAAAAAGTTTTTTTTCCCCAAATCCATGAACTTTCTTTGCCGTGGAGACCTGTGTCCAGGTGCTCTCAGCCGCTTCTCTCTTCAAGCTGGCGCGTAAGACCTGTCAAAGGGCCACTGCCGGGTTGCCGGCTTTGGGGTCGGCTTGGACGCCCCGCCGGTCCCTGAGGGGTTGCCGCATATGCAGGAGGCTACCCCTGCAGGAGGGTCTAGGCCCGAAACGTCAGCCTTCCTGCTCCTCTGATGCTGCTTGGCCTGCTGTGTTCATCCAGCTCTACACCTTGTTATGTCTGGGCAAGCGTGTCCCCCAACTCAAGGTTGAGATGGTAAGGGGTTGTTTGTCTGTGGAACTCCTTGCGAGAGAGGGCTGCGTGTATGTGGGGGAGAGGGACGCAGCTCTTCGTGTCTATTTCAGGTTGAAATAAACAGATTCTCGCTCAATCGGGGAAAGGGCAGCCAAAGTGCATGTGAGGGACGCCAGATTGGGCTGTGATCCTCTTGACTAGCGGAGCAAGCTGGGAGGGGGCCGTTCCTGTTTCTTAGGGTCTGGAAGCAGATGGAGAAAAATCATTAAAGCCTTCCTCCACACTTGACTTCCGTCAGACCCCCCTGACAGAAGTCAAAATAAAAACCGAAAGAACTGCGGATGCCGGAAATCGGAAGCCAAATCAGAAATTGCCGGAAAGCTTCAGTGGGTCCGGCAGTATCTGAGGAGAGAAATCGGAGTTAACGTTTTCAGTTTCAGTGACCCTTTCTCAAAACTGCCCTTAGTTGAGTAACCCTTCACAATGGAAGTCCCCAGTATATGAAGACAATTGTAGCAAGCGGGTCAACGAGCCTTACTGTCTAGGTTCATTTGCAAAGTGTTACCAACTGCTGGGTAAAACTTGTGCCTCCTCAGGAAAGTTTCAGGAAACTTTTCTGTCACTGAGTACGCGGCAGAGGAAAGCGGTTGTCTAAGTCGTCTGGCTTGGTCTTGGATGTTGATAAATGTCAATGAACAGGGTCGATTCTCTGCTTGGATTGTATCCGAGCGAAACTTTCCATAAGACAAGGCAGGGACCTCATTGCCAGTGTCTGCGAGAGTGACAGTGTTGTTGAATATCTTCCGATGGGCTCCTTCCGAGCTCCAACTGGAGGTCTCACACTATCTCATTGTTTGACCACCTGCTGTTGCGTTAGAGAAGTTGCCCTGGAGCTCATTTCAGATACAGCTGACTGCACTTCATTCTCAGAGCAAGTCCAGAGCTTCAGCTAAGTTTGTGAGCTGTATTTGAGCCACCGCTACCCCCAAATGCTGACTACAGGGGTACAGATAAGGCGAACGGCAGCTGTTTTTCTCTCCCTTCCGGTGGGGAATTTCAACACTAAGGGGAATATGTTTAAGGTGAGAGGAGAAAGATTTTTTAAAAAAGACATGAAGGGCAATCTTTACCAAATTTCACACAGCGAGTGGTTCGTGTGTGGAATGAACTTCCAGAGGAAGTGGTGGATGCGGGTACAGTTACAATGTTTTAAAAGACATGTGGCTAAGTACATAATATAAAAAAAATGTTTGGAGGGATATGGGCCAAGCGCAGGCAGCTGGGACTAGTTTAGTTTGGGATTATGGTCAGCATGAACTGGACGGACCGAAGGGTCTGTTTCCGTGCTGTATGACTCTACTCGATGCTAAGAGCTGTCCACTGATGACATGGATGCTGACTCCTGTTTGCTATTCCTGCATAAAGCAAAAATCCACACTGCCACATGTGAGGTGACAAAGCAGGATAAGACAGTATTCCACTGCCTGGTCAATGCCAGAGGAGGTGTTAGAATTCATAGTGCTCCGATGCAACCTCCCTCTGGCGAGCTAAGCAGTTAGCACTTAGATCGAGGAGACAATCAGACGCCCTCTGTCTAGCTGGGCTGAGGGGGAATGTTATTTGAGTGCTAGCAGTAAAATGACCCCAGTTCCCCATTCTACCAACGATCGCAGGCCTTTCCTCCCCTCTGTCACTGACTGTCACATAACCAGGCCATCGCAACATAGGCCTCACAACTAAAAATGTATCAATTAAATTGTGGTATTTTGCACACTGAGGTAAACTAATTGTGTATTCCCTCCCGAGTGCTTGTCCACTGTACCTTTGTCTGTCTTAATGCCATTCCGCAGAACTGCGTCACATTGTGGCTATTGGAAGGTCCCTGCCATTCCCTGCTGTTGGTTTGGGAGCCTGAATGCATTCAGCTCTGGACCTGGCTGTGTACTGCATCCATTCAGTATAGGTACTAATGGCCTGCATCAACTGGCTGACTGACAGGCAATAGCAAGGACCCTGGTGGAGGGGTAGGACAAATGTAGTTTACCTGAGGAAAAAGCAGCAGCTTTGTACTGATTGATAGCCACTGCAACTCTCCTGGAGAAAGGTCCTCAATTTAATTTAATTTGAATAAATGTGAAGTACTGCATTTTGGTAAAAGAAACAAGGGTAGAACTTATGCAATTAAAAGTAGGCTCTTGAGTAGTGTTGTAGAACAGAGACCTAGAGGTTTAGGTGCATAATTCATAGAAGTTTACATCACACGTTAAGAAGGTGTTCAGCACGCTTGCCTTCATTGCTCAGCTATACATTGAGTGTAGGAGTTGAATGTCATGTTGAGGTTGGACAGGACATTGGTGAGGCCTCTTCTGGAATACTGTGTCCAGTTCTGATCTCCCTGTAAAAGGAAGGGTATTATTAAGCTGGAGAGGGTTCAGGAAAGATTTACCAGGATGTTGCCAGGAATGGAGGATTTGGGTTATACAGAGAGGCTGGATAGGCTGGGCCCTTTTTCACTGGAGCGTAAAAGGTTGAGACGTGACCTTATAGATGTTTTGAAAATCATGAGGGGTATAGATAAGGTGAATGGCAGGTGTCTTCTTCCTACTGGGAATTTCAAGACGAGGGTGGATATTTTTAAGGTGAGAGGAGAAAGGTTTAAAAAAGACATGAGGGGCAACATTTTTACACAGAGAATGGTTTGATTGTGGAATGAACTGCCAGAGGAAGTTGTGGATGCGGGTACAGTTATAACTTTTAAAAGACAGTTATATAAATACATGAATAGGAAAGGTTTGGAAGGATATGGGCCAAGCACAGGAAAGTGGGACTAGTTTAGTTTGGCATTATGGTAAGTATGGACTGGTTGGATCCAAAGGTCGGTTTCCGTGCTGTATGACTCTATAAAAGAACGCCAGAGCTCACAAACACGCAGTAATCCACAGGCATGATGGTGCCAGTCTTGAAGATGTGTGGCAGCAAGTAACCTTGCATGTCGCACAACTCAGATGTTGTGCGGGAAGCAGTGAGATCACTGCAAGTGTGAAAACAACTGTCTGCATCATTGTTTACCCAAATATTTCCTCTACTACTTGGCCAGGCTGCACTGTTCAGACATGTGAAAGGCAAATGTCACAAGGGTAAGGTGGTGGTGCAGGTGAGGAGGGACCTCAGAGGTGCAAGCCTTCACCAACTGCAGTCTACAAATCCGAAGCGGGAATGGAAGGTGTAGCGAAGGATTAGGTGATGTCAAGTTTGAAGGTTTCAGCCCTGCCATTGAGTATGACTTTAGTGATGGGCATATTGTAATAATGGCCAATACCATCACCGGATGCCTGTTCCATTGGGGGTCAGGATATGTGAACATGCCCCTTCCCGTGGGGGTCCGGGACATGC